CCACTGCCTCACCCCCCAGTCCCTCCTTTTTTGGTGCAATTTAGCTTTTCCCCATCACTCTGCAAGGAACCTATAGCATTGAAATTGTTTTCTCTAGTATTCCCTTGAAGTGCTCTCTAAAATGGGGAGAAGGGGTAAAAGAACTATTAGAAATTAGATTTCAATTTGTTTTTTATCTTGTTTTTGTGGTTTCTGATATACTGGTATATATTTAGATTATGCTTGTATATGGTGTATAAATAAGCATGACTAGTATCCATATAAGTACTTTACAAGCATGTAATAAGATATATGCTAATGACTTATTATTAAAGGGTACCTTTATTTTTAAAGATTTTATTTATTTTTAGAGAAAGAAGGGAAGGAGAAAGAGAGGGAGGGAAACATCAGTGTGTGGTTGCACTCCATTCTGGGGACCTGGCCTGCAACCCAGGCATGTGCCTTGACTGGGAATCGAACCGGCAACACTTTGGTTGGCAGGCCTACGCTCAATCCACTGAGCTACACCAGCCAGGGCTGAAGGGGTACACTTTAAAAAAAAAAGCTTGTACCCTGGCTGGTGTAGCTCAGTGGATCGAGCGCAGGCCTGTGAACCACACAATTGCAGTTCGATTCCTAGTCAGAGCACGTGCCTGGGTTGCAGGCCAGTTCCCAGCAGGGGACTCATGAGAAGCAACCATACATTGATATTTCTGTCCCTCACTCCTTCCCTTCCTCTCTAAAGATTAATAAATAAAAATTTAAAAAGTTCGTAGACCACTTATTTTTAGGATAAAGCTCAAACCTTTTATTATGGCACTCAAGGCTGTTTATAATTTAGCCTCAAATGATTTAGTGGCTTCCTTCACCTTCCCTTCCCTGGCCCCCTTTATCACAAACTCCGCTCTACCTATGGGTTACTATACAGCTTCCAATTGTATCAAAACATCAAGTTATAGTTCAAAGTATTTTGCATGTAGATGTTCAAATGTTAAACCCAGCATGTTTCAGGGACTCCCCACAAACTATCTGGCTTGGTGTGTGAGGGGCTAGTCTAATGAATCATTCCTTCCTTACCCAACACAAGTGTGATTTGTGCTTATTATTCCCAGGAGACACTGAACCCACTGCTGGGTCTTCTGTAGATCCTTCCTTACCTGTCCTGGCCCCTCAGTCCAACTGTATTATCTCAACCTTATCATTTAGGACATATTGCTTTGTTCCCTACCTTTTAATATCTATCTTCTGTGCCCAGAGGTATTATGGGCAGAAATGGGTTTTTGGCTTTTTGTAACCTAAAGTATATTGAAGTTTACCACGTTGTTAAGAGCTGTTCTGATTTATATATGTGCTTTTTTTTTTTTTCCCACAAGCCCAGGAGATGAGTACTTTTACCATCATTTTATCCTGACACGGAGTGATTTGCCCAATTGAACTCAGGTTGAACTCTAGAATTGGGCTTTTAGTGACTGCATGCCTGATTACAGAGTGTAAATGCATGGAAGACACCAGTTTTACCTCCAAGGACTCTCAGAACCAGGTCTGTACCTCAGAAAAAAGGAGCAGATACCCTGGAGAGAGTTAAGTCTCAACACATGTTGTGGATAAAATTCTTCTTCCAGTGGTATTTTTTATTGTTAGTGATCTCCTAAATTGCCTGGGGTATGAACTACAACTACACTTTGTCACTTAATTGTCTATTGTCTTATACTGTTGTTTCAGTTTATCTTTGCCTACTAATTTTTCTTCTGTAATCAGGTCCAGCCTTGTCCTTACTGGCTGATGTGGACCAGAGGCTGTTAGGCCTTCATAACAGGACCATCCCAATCCACTAGTGAAGAGTATCAGTGGCACTCAAATCTAAGAACCTTTGGTGGTGTTAAAGATGTGGCCTTCTGAATAAATTTGGGGTGGGACCCACAAATCTGCATTTTTAACTCCAAGGTCATTCTTAGGCCGAATAGCCAATCAGTCTACTACATTCCTGCCTGTAAGGGCTGCCCCATTTAGGAAGGATTATCTCGTGGTATAATAATTCTCTAAATACTGCACACAGCTGAAGAATTAGAAGCTGGGCCTCTTTTGTTTCTGGATACGCCACTTGGCAGGTGTAATAACATCCTCTGACAGGCTGCTTGCCACAGGTGCATTCTTGACACGTGTGCTCCGCTGGTACCATCCCCCATTCAGTCCTGCAGCCTAACCACCAAGACCCCTTTAGCCCCTACCAACCACCCTGTAGCAGTTGTCCTCTCCCAATCCCCCAAGCCCACCCACCCTCACCCCTCCCCCTACTCCCCCAACCACCTCCCTCCCCCCAAGCCCAATCCTCCCCTCCTCTTCTCTGGGTCCCCTGGGGCTCCTCCCACCTCAGAACATTTTTTTTGTTCCTGGCTGAGTTTTCCAAGTGAGATTGGGGGCGGGGATAAAGCTGGTTAGAAGGGAGGACACAGGGCCATTCAGAGGTTCTAATGAGTAGGGATACTTTTTATGTCTGAGAAAACACGTTTTTCTACCAGACAAATGGGCAGAGGCCTATCTCTGGAACTTGGGTGGAGGGATGTTACTCCCCCGGAGAGAACCTCTGTCTCTGCAAACATCCCGAAGGCGGCCCAACCTGCAGTGTTCCTTTGTTGGGATAAGAGAGGAAATGGAATCTTACCAATGAGGTGAAAAGGGTTTCAGGGAATACCAAGGACGGCCCAGCCTTCTCCCTGCAAATGACTAACACTAAAGGGGAAGGGGGAAAAAAAAGCACCAACAAAGTAGTTCCCAGCTTTTTCAAATATGAAGCATTTTTTAACCAATCCTTTTAATTTTTAAATTCTTGACATTACAGAACTAAACTGAAATTTATTAACATTCCACTCTTACATTTCTTATCGACAAACAGAAATAAAATTCATGAGCCAAATACCCAAACCAAAACTAAAAACAGGGAAAAGCTTATAAAACTAAATATGGATCCCAGCATTAACAGCTGAACAGAGAATGTGATTTTTAAATTCTTAGCGGATGATAAAGTTGTGTAGAAACTGAACACTTACAAATTATTTAAAACCTGGAATCACTGACCAGAAATTACACATTTGGATCATGGGAAAACAGCAGAAAGGGTTATGAGTGGACCTACACTGTTCTAGCTGCACCCCATGCCCTTCTCAGAGGAAAGCCTGGCATTGATTAGATATTGGGCCAGACTAATACTGGCAGCAGAACCAGTGATAGTAACCTGCCTACCAGAGGAGCCTTCCACTGGATTGGCAATTTTGATCTGGGCCCCAGACATCTGGCGGATCTCATTAATATTGGCGCCTTGGCGCCCAATTATGCAGCCAATTAAGTTATTTGGAATGGTGAGTTCATGGGTGGTTTGAGTAGAAGCATCCAAACTTGCCCAATAGCCTTTCACCTCTGGAGAGCTGGAGTCAATTCCGGCGAATCCGGTCCCGCCGTGCATCATGGCAAAGTGACTCTGTTGTCTCGCCACCTGGTTCAGCTTGGCCAGATCGAGCGGAGAAATGGTGTGTTGTCCTTGAATCGAGTAGGCATCTAGAGGTGGTCCCTCCAGGTCATGGGTGGCATGGGGGTAGCCCGCAGCGTCGCTGCACCGATCTTGGCCGCCCGCGCAGATGACTGGAGAGCTGGCTGGCATAGGCTGGTACGGAATGGTCATGACTCTTCCTTGCGGAGACTGGGAGAGCGTCTCCAGCATGACCAGGCAGATCTGCTTGACACACTCGGTGACAGACTGCGGCACGCCAGCAATGGTGATAGCTCGCTCGGTCGAGTTGGGCAGCATATCGCCCGCCACCTGGACCTGGGCCCCGGTACTCTCGCGGATCTCTTTGATCTTACACCCGCCTTTCCCAATAAGGGAGCCGCACTGGGTGGCCGGCACCACGAGCCTCAGGGTGACCGGGGGCCTGCTGGCCGCCGTGCTGTTGGTCATGGAGCTGTTGATATCTTCTTCCAGCTTGTCGATGATCATAGCGAAGGCCTTAAAGATGGCATTGGTGGGGCCGGTCAGAGTGATGATTCGCTCCGGACAATTCCCCTCCGAGATGTTGATCCGCGCGCCACTCTCCTCGCGGATCCTCTTAACCGACTCCCCTTTCTTCCCAATAATGCTTCCTACTTCCTTTCCGTGCATAAGCAGCCGAATGGTGAGAGTCACATTTAGTCCACTTTCAGTCACACCGGCATCCATGGCGAACGGCGGGCGGCGTTCGGGGGAGTTGGGCTCGTTACGTGGTCAAGTCTTTGGTGGCTGGCGGGGGGAGGGGAGGTGTAGGCCCAAAACTGCCGGCGCGAGGCGAGCGAGGGCCGCGGGAGCGAGTGGGCACGGGCCGGAGGCCGCGGCGTCGTCGCAGGAGCAGGCGGCGGCGGTGGAGGGGGCGAGCGGGGCCGAGCAGGGCCGGGAGCAGCGGGCGGGCGGGTGGGCGAGGGCGCGGCGGTGGCGACTCCAGCGGCAGCCTCGGCGGTCTGGGCGGGGCGGGAAGCCCGCTTTCAACCCCGCGTACCCTCTGACCCCGGAAGTGCTTGCTGCGCAGGACCCCTTGAAAAAAAAGTGAGGACCCGTGTTTTTTTAGGTCACAAAATCACGCCAACCTCCACAAGGTAGTTTTACAAAAATTCTTTAAACAATCTGGCATTTAATATAAAGCTCTGACGGGCAGAAACTGTGAGTCCGGCAAGGTTTTAAAATGAACATGTACTTCATTAACTCTAGTGGTACCGGCAGATGTTTGGCAATGTTAGTAATGTAAATGGGAACGACATGTTCTTTTACTACCCTGCGAAATGGGCCTGGATGCGGAGGGACACGGCCAGACCCGGCGATAACTGCAGGCAGCAGCGGGGACGCCGTGGGTTTAAAACGTGCGCGTGAGGCGGGTAGAGCGCGTGCGCGAGGGCGTGGGGGGAATGGGAGGGGCAGCGCGGTCTTCCGGGGGGGGGGGGGAAGGGAGGCGAGGCGAGGCGGTAGGGCGGGTGCGCGGGCGGGCACGTGGGGCTCCTTAGTCCCGGGCGCCTGGGCCCTGGGTGCCATCCGCCACTCCCGGTCCCAGGCTGGGGGGTGGCGGCCGAGGAGGAGAAAGACTGATCCCACTCCGCCACCGGAGTCGCGGCTTTGTTCGCGGTTTTTGCGAAGTGTTAGAAACGTGGCCCTGAAAAGAATGGCGTCCATTTACATAATGCTTTGTTTGCATTTTCAAGTTTATTTTGGAAAACCCGCAGAAACACCACCTCCTGTCCTAGTGGCGCTTTAGTCACTGCAGCCTCTTCAGACATTTAAAACAATGGCGTCCCTCTTGTAGGCCGCATTCACTCAGGGATTACCGACCAGTGTTTTGGGGAGCTCCTGTGGCTTTCCCTACACGGCTTTCGCTGCGCACGGCTTTGCGGCCCTTGCCAATCCGTGGTGCAGCTTTCGTGTTCTGCACTTTCCGGGGGTGGCCCCTGACGGGGCCGCCATTTTGGAAAACCTTTCATGCTGTTGGCGCAACTGCACATTTTCCTTGCTGAAGGAGAGAAAGGTCGCTTTGGCTGCTGGTGTACTTCTTGTGATTTTTTGCCCCTTCCTCTGCCCTTCGGTTAAGCCAGACAGAAAAGGCCGTGTGCACAACGTGTTTGAGGCTTCCTCAGGGAAACTGGCCAACGTGGCGGTCCCTTTGCCTGCCCCCCCTTCCTCACGGGGGTAGCCGCCATGTTTCCTTAACACAAAATGGCGACACGTGGCCCGGTGTCGCCGAGAAGGAGAAATTAGGGTGGGCAAGAAGGGTCTAGAATGCGTTGTCATCATTCTGCCATCCCTCGTGCCTGTTGGCCGGGGACCTTTCCTGCGCAGCGAGTCTTCCGAGCACTCCGATAACAATTCCCACAGCGTGGTCCAAAACCTGGGGGGAGGGAGGGAGCAATTATTAATTCCTTCCTTATTAATTTGAACCGCGAATATGAACTGTAAAATATAGGCATGACACCGTGTCTTTTGCTTATTTTAAATTTAATGCATAGCGGGGGGCCGGTACCAATAGGTAACTCGGACCCTTAAATAACAAACATTTAGAAATCACAGCCTTAAGGAATAAGACGGGAAATTCCTGTTTTCCTAGTCTTCCAGGACTAGGAAACTTAAAGAAATGACCTTATGTATTTTTTTTAAAAGACAGTTTCCATGGGGAAACGAGGATGCCTGTGATTTTTTTCATGGGCAAGCTGGACAGCGAACCTCAGTTTCCCACAACTGGTGGTCACTTTTAGTCTAGAAGGGACAGACATTTATTGTTCATTTACCAGTACCAGATCTTGTGCTAGACATTTTACTGCATACTACCTAATTTTTATTTAAAAAGTGATCCTCTGAGGTAGGTGGTGTTATCTTTCTCTCTCTTTTTTTTTTTTAACAGACGAATTCTCTTAGGCCCAGGGAGATGAAGTGATTAATTCAAACTCACACAGTGTCAAGAATGGAATCCAGACCACCTTATTTCCTTATTGGTGAGCAAATATCCAAATTTTTCTGTAAATTAGGCATCTAGAATTTAAATACTATTTGAATGTTTAGGTGAGCTTGTCATTTAAACGAATCCCTCAGGTAATCTTTTGGTGGGTATTTACCCCCTATTTGTACATGTTTGGGGATTCCCAGAATTTCCTGGTGTGAGCTATACCCGCAATGGGTACAAGTGTTATTTTCTTATTAGGTGTTCAGGTGAGGATAGGGAGGGGGAAGTGATTCATCCCTGTTTAACTGCTTTAGTATCTGTCAGCCCTGCCTCATCTGTGGCACAGTTTGAGTCTGTCTACCTGGTTCTGGAGCAAGCAATTTCTGTATATGACTCACTTGCTTCCTGTAGCTACCAATGAGTATGACTTTGCCTCCCCCACCCCAACCAGGTAAAAATAAGTAATTTTATACTGGCGCCAAGCCCCCATTTCTCTGCAAATATTGACAGAGCATGACAGAGTGTTAGATAAATCATAGTCTGTGGACACTTTAGTTCAGTGTAACAAATAACTTGTTGGCCAAGCAACAACTATGTACCTAAACAGGGTTCTGCTTATGTGAGTGTTAGAAATGGAGAAAAAGGCTTTTTGTTTCCTCTAACTTATATTAATATCACATATCAGACTTTCCAAAGTGCTTTCACATTACCTTATATAATCCTGCAAACAATTCTAATAGGTAGGTACATAACAGCAACAATGACAATGACAGAGCTAAGTGCTTGCCAGGTGGCAGACACTTTGAAGTTCTGTGTGTTATTTCAGTGGCTCTCACATTTTTAGAAGCAAACCACTAAGACACAACTTACATAGTAGCAGATATATGTGCACCATGTATGTAATAGAAACAAAATTTTGCAAAATGGTACTTACTGTTATCACATGTTGTACATTCTGGTAATTTTTATTCTCTCCTTTACATTAAAAAGGCCACTGGCTGGGTAGCTGAATGGGTTAGACGGTTGGCCCAGCACTTCAAGGTTGTGGGCTTGATCCCTAGTCAGGGCACATATAAGAATCAACCAATCAGTGTATAAGTAAGTGGAAAAACAAATGGCTGTTTCTCTCTCTCTCAAATTCAGTAAATTAAAAAAATGTTAAAAAGAGCACATGAAAACTAAAATGATGAAAAACCCATTATTAGATTGTGACTGGTATGATTAGTGTACACATTTAATTCTCATAAAACCTGCTGAGATGGGGTAATATTATTTCCATTTCAGAGAGATAGAAGAGGTAAAGGATTTTGCCCAAGGTCACATAGCCAGTAAGTGCTAAAGCAAGGATTTGAATTTACACTTTCTGGGTCTAGAGCCTATATATCTAACCCCTAAGTGGATGTGTTCTCTTCAGAGGGCCTTATTTTGTAAGGAGACAGTTGATTAGGGTATTAAAAATATTAGCAAATGTTACCCTGGCTGGTGTGGCTTGGTAGACTTAGCACTGGCCTGTGAATGAGAGGGTTGCTGGTTCAGTTCCTGGTCAGGGCACATGCCTGGGTTGCTGGCCAGGTCCCCAGTAGGGGGCAGGTGAGGGGCAACCACAAATTGATGTTTCTCTCCCTCTCTCTCTTTCCCCTCTGTCTAAAAATAAGTAAATAAAAAAACCTTTAAAAAAATCAAATGTTAAAAATTTAGGAGACTAAATTACATACAATCAAGAATTATCCTCCCTGGCTGGTGTAGCTCAGTGGATTGAGCACGGGCCTGCAAACCAGACAATCGTGGTTCGATTCCCAGTCAGGGCACATTCCTGGGTTGCAGGCCAGTTCCCTGCAGGCCAATTCCCAGCAGGGGGTGCACAAAAAGCAACCATACATTGATGTTTCTCTCCCTCTCTCCTTCCCTTTCCCTCTAAAAAAGATAAATAAATAAAATCTTAAAAAATTAAAAAAAAAGAATGATCCTAGCTTTGGCCTGGTAGCTCAGTTGATTAGAGTGTCATCTAATACACCAGGATTACAGGTTTGATCCCCCATCAGGGCATATATGAGAATCAACCAATAAATAAATAAGTGGAACAATAAATTAATGTTTCTTTCTCTCTTTGCCCCATCTCTAAACTCAGTTTTTCAAAAATTTAAAAAAAGAATAATCCTGATTAAAAGCATTCTGGTCCTTTAAATCTGCCATCTATTTATTATCCCTAAAGAAAATTTTATTCATTGGGTCTTTCTTCACAAGACTGCCTATTTTAAACTTTTCTGCCAGAAGTATTCCCTTAATCTCTTATCTGAGTATTCCTAGGACTCTGCCCACCTCCTCATTGAAGATTTACCTTTCCTACCCTCTCAACCTTCCCATTCCTCCAGAGTCCTACACCTCTTCCCTAGAGAAGCCCACATTTAGTTGATTAAATTGTAATGTGTCTTGGTGTTGATAATATGTTGTACAGGCCACAGGTAACTTGGTTGAAGCTGAGATCTGGCAAAAAGTACACTGGATTTGGAAATTTGTGACTCTGGCCCTTAGTCCAGCTCTATCGCTGATTAGCTTTGAGACTTCTATAACCATGTTCATTTATCTGGGCCTCAGTTTTACCATCTGTAAAAAAAAAGAGAGAGATTAAATGATCTCTAAGACCCCTCTTAATTCTATCCAGTGAGTAATGATATTTGATGATCTCAGTTATTTATCCCTGGAGGGGAGGGTTATGAAAATAATATATTTTATTTACTTATTGTAAATTCTCCACTTCTTTCTCAGATCTGCACTGTCTTGTGGATAGGTGAGTGAATTCCATACCACCCATTTTATAGATGAAGCCAGTGAGATAATGGAACATCTGACTATAAATAGTCACCGCCCTATCCCTGGAGTCTCATATGACTCTTCTCCTCCCAACTTGAGTGCCTTCAGGTTGGTTAAGGTGAGTCAAGCTTAGACTTTGGAAATTGAACCACAGGATTTATACTCAATTCAGAGGAAGGATTTTTGCTTCCTCTTACCTCACACTGTATTGTTATAAAAACCTTTCAAAGTGAGTTCACATTATTTAATCATCACAGACAATGTTGTTAGGAAGGTATTCTGCTTATTTTATGAAAGAGCCATCTTCGGATCAGAGTAATGAAGTGACTTGCTCAAGTTTACACAGCTTATTAGGATCTGAGCCGATCCTCTTGACTCCTAGTTGCGGATTGCCCTTTCCTGGGCTTCTGATGCTTGTGACACTGACTTTGACACATGGAATGCTTTATCTGAAACTCCAAAAGCTTTCCATCCAGTCTTTATTGTTCTGTTCCAGAACATTAATCCACCTATGTTAGGGTTCTAACTCTTTTGGTTTAAGAGCATCTCTTCTTATTCTCTTTTACATTTATGGGTTTGGTAAGTGGTGGGCATGATTCCTCAGTAAGACTCTTGGGTTCCCAGGGGGCAGGGATCACATTTTTTCCCCTAAATTACCTGGTCCAGCAAGTATACTACAGCTTTTAAAATTTGGCCTACCAACATGGCAACATTTTTTTTTCCCAAAACTTGGTTTCTTTTTCTCTTCTCCCTTCATATTAGCTTCTCTTTTATTTAAAATTATACTAAATTAAGAGCACCCTTGTATTACTTTTGGAATATAGCCTAAAAATGTGGGTAGTAACAATTTGACTTGAATTGCTGGTGACACTGCATTGCTGTTATGGGGTCATTACTTGTTTCCTCAGAAACAGAAGAAATACGTTGGTATGCCTTACAGAAGTGATGAGGAGATACGGCAATATCCTTGGCCTAAGTTCTTCTGGTTGGGCAAAGCAGTGCCATGCATTCTTCAGGGTCACTCTAAAATGAGGCATGGAGAAGGGGATGTGGAGAAAAGTTAAAGGGTAAATGAGAACATTCAGAATGCAAGTGCAAAGTATTGAAAGTGAGGAAGGAAAAAAAGGTTAGAAAAGAAAGAAAGGTTAGAGAAAGAAAATAATAGGACAGAAAAGAGGAGAATGCAGGATTAGTGGAAGGGGGATGAAGAGAATAACCCAGAGGTCCATTATCCCCTCCTGTGGTGTAGGATGCACAGGCTGCTGTCTTGTACCAGGAAGAGCAGTTGATATGGTAACTCCTCCTTGAGCTGATTTTGAGCAGAACATCTCTTTTTCTAAACCTCTATTTCCAGTATCGGAAAGGGGAATTTTTTTGTTTGTTTTTGCTGTCAGCTGGGGATGTGATATAATGCCAGTAATTTTAATATCAATATCAGTTCAATTGGTTTATTAAGGAAAATGTGCTACAAAAATCACATAAGGTATAATAAGTTAAATTTCATCTTATTCATTCATTAAACACTTATTGATTGCTTGCTATATCCCAGACACTAAAGATATTCAAATGAATAAGATCCTGTCCTTGCCCTCAAGATGTTTATGGTCTGCAGAGGGAGACAGGCACATAAATAGATTTACAATATACTACTTTAAAGTAAAATATTAGGATATGAGTAAGCAGAGGGTGCTGTGGGCTCAGAGGAGGAACCTTGATTCAGTCTTGAAGGGGATTCAGCAAATCTAGGCTACCTAGAGCAGTTGACATTCAGGCTGAATCCCAAGTTGGCAAATTGCAAGGTGGAGGGCAGGGAAGGGTATTACAGACAGAGGGAACACAGTTCATTCAGAAGTTATATTCATTTCAGGGAGGTATGAATGATGTTTACATGATCCAGTTTTTGGTGATTATTTTTCTACTGCTTCAGAAATGTAAATTATTGAGACTTACTTTTCTTGCTAGAGCACAAAGTTAAAGTCCTTATTTTTAGCAGTAATTCTTTTTTAAGATGAAGACACCAGAAATTGCACATTCTCTCTTAGAGAGTGTAAGGATGAAAATGTAAATAAAGCTCAGCTTTTGAATCAGCAAATGATCATTAACCTTTTGTGCAGTAAAAGAAAAAAGTGTATGCATAGCATACTTCTCTCTCATTCAGCTTTTGGATTTGATTGTGTTTTGCTTTGTTTTTAAAGGGGTGTGTGTGGTAATTTAGGGTCTTTGGCTAGGCTGTTTGAGTTAGGAAGAAAAAGAGTTGAAGCGTAGTTGCTACTTTATGGCAGAACAAAAGAAATACATTTAAATAGCTCATTTCTCTGATTCCACCTCCTGAGCACAAGCAAGATAGTTGGGGATGTTGCTTCAGAGAGACAATTGAACCAGACAAAGTGTTAAGGAAACATTATTCACTGTGTAAAATCAATTGTGTCTGGATTTAAGAGCATTGATTTTTGGTTTTTGTTTTTCAGAGACATAGGTATAGCTGCATTAAACAGAAACCTTATGTGTATTCATTGGCCAATACTGGGATTTTACCTGGATTAAAAGATAAAAAGTGATATGTGTGGAGTAGGGAAGAAAGTACTTAGAAAAGAGCACATAGATTTAGTGGTCATTTCTCAGTTGTCTTCTTTCTTGAACTATGAGTAGCATTTGGCACTCCCTCTTTGCACACTAGTTTCACTTGGCTTTCAGGATACCACTTCCTTGGTTCTACTCCTACGTCATTGGTCCCTCCTTCTCAACCTCCCCTCCCTTTTTTTGGCTGATTCTACTTCATTCCTCACCTCCAATGATGGAATACTCAGATCAGTCCTGGGAACCTTTCTTCGACTACACTGATTTCCTAGATACTCTATTTCAAGACTAAATATCACCTATACCCTGACAGTTCTCAAGTGTATATTACTAGTGTGAGTGTCTTCCCTGAACTCAAGACTCTTACATACCAGTGTTTACTGGATACCTCCTCTTGGGTATCTAATAGCTTTTTGAAGTTAACGTATTCGAAAAAAATTAACTCTGAAACCTGTGTCTCTGGCAATTCCTCCCATCTCTGTTTCTGTTGTATTGAATATATGGAGGACTCTCTTATCTCTTTCTTTCTTTTACTCTCATCTAATCTACCAGCAGGTCCTGTCAACTGTATCTTTAAATAATATATCCACAATTGAACATATCTTTCCACTTTCTCTGCTACTATTAGAATAGTTTCTAAATGGTTTTCCTGTTTTGCTTTTGTTCCCCTCAGATTGAAAACTAAAGTCCTTACAGTGGTCTGCAAGGCCACATAGCATCTTTAGCACTACCCTCTCCGATCTGCTCTGTCTTTATCTTCTACTGCTTTCCCCTTGTGTTCTAGCCACACTGGTCTTGTAGTTGCTCTAATATGGAGCACCTTTTGGACACCTTTGGAACTTTGTAGTTGTTTTCTCTGCCTGGAACACTTCTTGCAGATATTAGGATGTCCTCCTTCAGGATTCTGCTCAACTGTCACCTGATCTGTGAGGCATTCTTTGACCATCCTATTTAAAAGTAAAGTCCATCTTCTGCTCTTTGTCTTCTCTGTCCCTTTTCTCTGTTTTATTTTTCTCTGCAGAATTTATTGCTCTCTGACATACTATTTATTCAGAAATTTATAGAATGCTGCCTACTATGTGCAAGGCACTGTTCCAGGGACTTTCTCTACTGTAGCTTATTTATTACTTGTCATCTACAACTAGAATATAAATTTTGTGATGGCTAGGACTTTGTTTTGCTCATTGTTGTATCTCTCCTAGAAAACAATGCCTAGCATATAGGAGTTGAATGAATATTCAAATTTTAAACAAAAATGTATTGAATATGTACAAGGGTTGTGCACCAGATAATGAGGGAAAATGTCTGTATGAGTAAGACATTGTTCCTGCCCTCAAGTTTCTTAGGCTAAAAAATTATTATTTTGACCTATATAGTGCTGTGATCTCTAGCAGGATAAAGTAATACATCATTTTGGAATTGGGATCGTAAGGACCTTTTGCTTTGTAGGATGACACCCAGCCAACTGAATCATACACTGTGTGGGGCCAATTTTACTTCTTGTGAGGATTAAATGACTAAATAATATAATAGTTTTGAGATAGAATGAAAAGGGAAGGATTTAGAGGACCAATGATTTCTTTTTTTTAAAAGCAAATACTGTATATCTCTGCTTTATTTTAAAAAATAATTTTATTTATATATATTTTTAAAGATCTTATTGAATTATTTTTTTAGAGAGAAGGGAAGGGAGGGAGAAAGAGTAGGAGAGGAACATCAATGTGTGAGAGATATATCGACCAGTTGCCTCTTATATGTCCCCAACTGGGGACCTGGCCTGTAACTCAGGCATGTGCCCTGACGGGGAATTGAATCAGCAACCAGCAACCTTTTGGTTTGCAGGCTGTCACTCAATCCACTGAGTCACACCAGCCAGGGTGAAAAGTTAATTTTAATAAGCATATTTCTTTTCTAATGAGAGCAGTGAAGCTTTCATTTTTGAAAACAAAGACTAATATATTGCTTTCCATAGAGTAGCAAGTCTATAGAAAATATTTCCTTGTCTCTCCACCCAGATACTTACCCTGTATTGCATGACAGAAATGAAATGCTAGAACCCCACCCCAGGCTGTCCAGTGAGCTGGTATCTAGGTAGGAAAACAACCATTTCCTTTTAGATGAAATTGGAACTCAGGAGTAGTATTTGAAAGCGGCTCAAAGGGATCTGTGATGATAACAATAATAGTAATGGCTAACCTTAATGGATCAGGCACTGTGCTAAGCATGTTTTGTGGGTTGTCTTATTTTAACAGTATAACAACCATATGAGGGTGGTACTGTGAGAAATAGGACAGTGTTAGGAGTAAGGAACATAGACTCTGAGGTCAGACCTGCAGGGATACTTCAGCTTTGTCAGTAACTAGCCTGTGGACGTGATTAAGGAAACAGCCTCATTTTTGTCATCTGTATCTATAAAATGAGGGTAATAATAGTACCTGCTTCATAAAGTAGTTGTAATGATTAAATGATGTAACTCATGTAAAGTGCTTAACATAGTGCTTGGCACATAGAAAGTGCTCACCAAATGTCATCTGTTATCAT